GATGGCGGCTTCTCTCTCCAGACACCGTGACTGCCCGAAGAGAGGTGCCGCCCGTGACCGAGGTTCAAACCGGCGACGGTGCGCGTCGCAGCCGACACCTTACAACGCTTAACCACTCCGTCCCCGTGGAACCTTCATCAAAGTTTAAGTGCCCAGTTCGTTGCTACCCACTTACCGTGAAGCATTGGAGGCCGCTGCAGGACGGACGACAACAACAAGCGGACGGACACAAAACGTAGCAASCGGTTCGGGCGGGAAAGCAAAACATCGGCCACTTTCCCATACCTGGAAGTGTTCCCCGCTAGTCAATCCTTGYTACCGGTCAGGTCGCCGCGTTCACTGTCGTTKGACTGAGTCCGCTGATACGTTGGCGGTGACCTGCCCACGGTCATCGGTGTGTTCGGCGCCGACGGGTCGCTCTTGATGGTGGACGGGCCGATGCCACCGCCGCCGGACCGGTTCAGCGACAATCCCGAACTGGCGCCGTCCCGGATCCCGTTCAGCTCGCCCCGCATGAACCGCTCCACCTTCTCCACGCAAGCGTCCTGGTAATCGTGTATCCACCTCACGCCGTTGAACTTCCACACGTTTTGCATGTCTTCCGGCAAGGTTTCCGGTTCGGGCCACGCAAAGTTGTCCATGATCGGAATGATATTGCATTGGTCCTGAATAGCAGCCACGATTTCCTGTAAAACGACATCACATGATTATAGTGACTGTTGAACGTGCAGCCCCCGTCTATGAACATTGTGACACTATATTATTATTATTTGACACGTGAATAAAAACGATCAAGGTTTGGATTTTGGAACGGAAAAGATTACGGATTACGGAAAAAAATTATGGAAAAAGAACAATAAAATACAAATTAATAAATTACGGCTGTTTGTTAACGTTACCTTGTGCACCCAGTCTTTACATTCGTTATCGCCGATACACCTGTCCAACGACTTTGGCGTCAATACTAATATGAAGTTTTTCGCCTGCTTGATGCTTTGCAACAGGTTGTTGTCGAACTTGCCAGCTTCCAGACGTTCTACGTCGATGAACACTGAGTATCCTCGAAGTTGCAGGTGTACTTTGAGCAAACTAAAAATAAAATCATTCATTAATATCCATATTATCCTGCCGTTTTCCTAAGACCACGTGACATGATATTCAAAATATGTGTATTATATTCACGTTTGAATTCGCATTAAATTGGAGAAATACAATAGACTTACCTTGCCAGTTGAGATCCAGTCGATCGTCTGTAACTGATAAAAACATCCAAGTTTTTGTTCATRTTTTCTTCGAAAGAGGACGTTTCCATTAGCGTCTCCATGTCTATTAATAATAAAAAGCAACAATATTTGTAAGCACGTTCAATTTTAGATTTGTTACAATTACAACRTTTACCTCTTATCGAGTCTAGTATTCTATACCGATGAATGCTGTTTGATATTCCACACTCTTGTACTAGCTGTTCTTCTGATAAAAATCTAAAACATAAAATATTTTTAATTGAGTTTGCTATTTAAAAAACAAACGACGTAATAAGTAACAAATTGTCAGTATTTTCTAGAGTATTTTTTTCTTTTTATTGAGTTTTTATAGAATTGAACATAGGTACTTAAAAACAAAAACAATTAATAATCATATTTATCATTCAAGGCGATTGTTAAATAGCTTACCTGATGGAGTCTCTATCAACGCCAGCATTCAACATGGAATAAGTGTAAACGGAAAATTCCGAACCTATAGACTGGAGGAACGARTTCARATTTGTCGTGTCTCTGCTACTGTAGTCCGCCAATCGTTTCAAATTGTGTATTTCCCTCATAAACCTGGAAACAACAGATAGAATTATATTATTAAAGTGAACTTAAAATTTATCTAGAATCAAGTAACCAGTATTTTCTTTATAATTATATTTATGATAAGTGCGATAAGTTATTTTATAGATCATATAACAATAGTTGGAATATTTCGATAAATTTAATAAATACTTAAATGTGAATYATCTCCATATTACAATTTTTTTACTAACGWTCTATTATAAAATACATTTTTTTTTTAGTTTAATAATTGGTGTTACAAATTTTCTAAGTTCTGTCRATATATATCAARACTAAAACTTTAGTTTTAATACCTATGTAMAATTATAAGTAGGTGCATTTAGCCATATATGATATTCAAGTATTTTTTTKTTAATTTCAGATATCTTAGTCATTATTATTGGTGTATTGACATTTACCACCGAGTCTACAAGATTTACCTATGTTAAAAGGTATTTAGCTATATACATACGTATTACCTWGTACTTAATCGAATACCCGCGATAGGTAGATACAAGATATTATGTATAATATACATGTAATTGTCTTAATTATATTAGGTATRAATTTAAAATTTATAAAAATGTTGGATAATTCGCATGCAAAAGATTTTTATGGAAGTTGCTTATTTTATTATACCTATGTCTGTATATCTAGCTATRCGATATACCAACCTTCTTCGCATGATTCCGTTGTGTATTCCTATATCRTCCCTAAGATTTTGCTCGGTCAACTGCAACAGTAAATCACCATCTACTCGGCTTTCCACGAAGTTTTTGGAGCACTCGCTGAACCCGATTTGTCTGACCCATTCTCGGACGTCCTCCGGTGACCATAATGGTACTTTTTGGCTGAGCTTGTGCGGTACCTCCTCGCCGATCAGCCGCAATGCTTGGGCGGCGAACTTTGATGCTATTGCGTTGGGGCAACTGGCTACCTTCTTCAGTGGTTCGACGGCGTTGATCACGCTGAATATACTGGTCTTGCCCTGTTGTTTCTTGATGCCGGCTTCCATGCAGAAGTGGAAGGCGGCCAAGTTGCACGCTTCCTCTCGGATTGAACTCAACACCGGAACCAACCTTTCCAGCCAATGGTGGCTCTGGCCGTGAGCGTGAGCCAGGTTAGATTTGGCGAACTCTGACGGTGTGTGGGTGGTGACGAACGGGTCGATCAGGTCCAGGGTTTCGGACTTGAGGACGGCCGCTTCGATTTCTTTGTTTGCCACCAAAACGGCTATGGCCAAGAATGCGTAATACTTTATGTTGTCGTCCGTGTTGAACGCCAACGTGAACAACCACGTGGGTACGTTGAGTTTGATCATCAACTCTTGGTTCTCAGCCCCTCCATATAGCGACAGATTGGCTAGAGCACCGGCACAGTGTCTCAGGGTTTCGATGTCTCGTCTGCGGCAYTCATACAGCAATACGTCCAAGCCACCGAGTTTGATGACATCGCTGCATGTCATTTCACTGTGTTTAAACAGATGCTCAAGAATTCCTAAAGCATATTCATACTTTGTTAGATAAATAAAAATATTATTTAGATGCTAATATTGACTAAAAACATTCGAAACGAAATATAAAAAATTGAATAAAAATTAAAAATATATTTAATAATTTTTATCGAAGTAGCGTAAGACAACTATATCATAATATACTTAAGAACGCATCTTAAGAATTAACTTTTGTAAATACTAATTTAATTTTCAATTTATATTTTATCGATAACAATATTTTTGAATTGCATTATATTAATTCAATCCACAATAATATTTTAGTTTTGATATTTCGTTTGGAATGTCCAAACTATATTTTCTTTTACAATATGAATTCCCTGGCTCGAGAATATTTGACTTCAGACGGAATTCAAATTGAAAAATTAAAAAAATTGAAATTGAAACGAAAAACACTAGGTGGGTCTGATTGATGAATGAAAAATGTTACTTACCGGTACTGACTTTAGATTGATCGGCCGAGCTCACTTGACTCTTGTAAGCGCACACCACGTGTACGACCTTTTCCAGCCCATTTTCCACTACGTAAGAGCGATTTTCTGTGGTCAGACATTGTTCCAGTAACCTGGCACTGGAGAACTGAAGTTTTTGGTCTTTGGACACGCAATTGTTGATCAACAAATCCATTCCACCGCAGTCCCGGAATGTGTTACACAACGCATATCCGAGCTCGTAAGTCGGCACGGCCCACGCCTTGCAAATCATATCGAACATTTTGTTAAGCATTATCGGTCCTTTGGTGTCGGCGTACTTTCCGCTCATCAGTCCCTTGACGGCATTCTCCAAGTACAGTGAATACTTTTTAATAGCGTTTTCCACGTCTTGAGTGTTGGCGATCTCTCGCATCTGGTCTAGGTCATCGAAATTCGTGTTTAATAGATCGTCGACACTTCTGATCACATGCGTCGATGGGGGTGACGAACCACTGCCGCCAGACGAAGATCCGTTGTGCGATGACTAGAAATTTAATTAGAATCGAATTACTAACACTGCACAAAATATCAATAAGTAGGTATAGGCAGTGAAATAATGAAACAAAATTTATACGAATCAAATATAAAACTGATCAATTATAAAAAAAAAATTATTACTTGTGAAGTGGCAGATGACACGGCTTTTGAACTTGTGCAAATGCCTTTTTTAGTGAACGTAAAATTCGATTGTGATGACTGAGCAATATGTTTTTCTTGGTTAAACATTCCTGAGGACGTTATTGTCTGTCTTTGTTGTTGTGCGCTCGTAGCTTTCTAGAAATAATAATTTACGATTAGTGAAACTATTATAGCAATTATATATTATAGTATAGTGTATATATCAATATTTTATATTTTTGAAAATATTATAATAATCATATAGAATATTTCAATAACTAAACATTTTATTACTACATTTTATTTACTCTTAAACCATATAATCATACTATTGCGTTTATCCATTTCTTGATAACCAAAGAAAATTTAAAATATAATATAACGTATGTTTTTCACCTTATACGAAATTAATATAGATACTATATCTTTTGTATTCTATTTAAACGATAAACCTATATTCCTAATTTAAAATCAAATTGGTTCAGGAGATAAAAATATCAATAATAATATTATTACGTCACTTAATAATTTTAATCACAACTTTGCGCAATAATACTGTAGGTAGATAGCAAGTTATAATTACAATGTTAAAAGCGTATCGATTAAAACACGTACATTCGAACATCCTTTTATTATCGCTTTTTATAATTTTCAGATCAACGTGGCCAATATATACAGATGCGAATAATATCATATTTACATAATTTATGCACAGTAGTATTGTGTGCATTTTTGATGCGACTACACCTGCGCATTGAATTGTAGTATAATATAGTTCTTCCTTTTTTTTACTAGACGTTTTTAAAATATTAAAACGTGAAAAGTTGCAGAACTCGAATTAAATATAAATATAAATAAAGCCGTTAAATATAAATTAAAACTTTCAAATTTGGGCGTGATTCCGTCTACTATTAAAAAAATACAATGTGGTAACTATTATATTATATCCAAAATTCAAAAATAATAATTAGTTGATTTTTTTTGGTTCAATAATTATTTAAAATAATATAATTATATCAGATTTATAACAAATAATAAGACCCTGAACAATTTATAAATAGAAAAACTATCGTAAGTACTATAATAAATAATAATATGTTATACATTTTATAACAAATCTTCTTGTAGCAATTTCGTATGAGATTTTGACTATGATATATATAGTTGCTAAAGTTTGAAAAATTATGCATTATTTTTTTTTCAGTGGCCCTATCTCAATTTCAATACATTTTAAAATAATATATTTATTAAAAAACAGTCTTATAACCAATGTAAAATCCCACTAAACATTTATAATATTTTTGTAAATTATTCAAATTATTCGAACTATCCCAACTTCAATATCGCTGAGCTCACAACTCCGAGGTATAATAATAGATGGCGTAAAGCCGACGTGTATGCGTTCAAAGCCATTGTGCGTCACGTCGTCAGTATAGGGTTTTTTTTCTAACCGTTTCGGCGGCATACACGCGTAGTCTTTTTTTCAATTAAAAAAAAATAAATAAATTTTACTTTAAACCATCTGATATTATGAGACAACAACTCACAGGCTATCATTTTCAGTAGCATCCATTTGAAATTTCAGCCACTACCTCAACTGCGCAAAATTAATTACTGAATTCGAATTTGACGAATCACTCGTATATAAATGAATGCTCCTATATCTCCTATCGGTTATCGTATACTTGTCCTAGGTGGCGCCGTATGATCGATGACATTATATTATATCGATGTCAGATATCGAACAGGTCTTAAAAAACCGGCGATAACGATAAGAACAATGTTCGATCTGATTTCGCAAATATTGTAATGTGTGCGAGAGAGATAAATCCGTAAATCGTCACACAACGTTACTAGTCATCAGAATAGTATACACCTACTAACTGTATAAACATTTTAAACAAAAAATAAGCAGATAAATATATACGAAATTATTCGATTAACAATAGCGTGTATAATAAGTAATCCACTCTATGTTTTACGTATTTTAATATCGATGAACACCACGAACACGTGACGCCAAGCGGTCGATGATCGATAATACTTAATAGCATTAATTGATTTCCGATTTGTATTTTTTTTTCGATTTCGAATTTATGGCGGCTGTCAAACGATCAATACTAATCCTGCTAATCGTTATAATTTACTATTTCGCTTGTCATGGCAAACAATATAAAAACGTGTTAACTGTAATTGCAACAGCAGCAGATGACGAAAAAAATGTAATTTTTAGTCGCTACTGTCTTAATGATAATAAATAATAATAATATTATTATTATTATAGAGTAGTATTATGAACAGAACGCAATCACCGCATATATATACAGTGGCGTCCGCAGAGGGGGGGGGGCTAATGGACTGAAGCCCTCCCCCATTGACCATATTATTGTTTTTTTGTTTTTATATTTACCTCGATTTAATATAGTTTCTTAAATCATGTGTTTACCTAACCAAACAATGCAAACCATATTGTCCTGAACTGGCTAAACTTCTAAGGTTCATAGATAATATTTTTATACATTCCATAGTCAGTACTCAGTCATGATTAAAGATACTATCTTTAGCCGTGCCACAGCTAGTCCATATAAATCTATAATCTGTGATAACAATTGAATACTGAGTTAACCTGTTAAACCTTTTTTCTTTTTTTCATGGTATCGATGAGGACCGGAGCAGGGACTGCTTTCGCATTACTTCCACTACGGCCCCCATCATTTATTGTTAAAGAAAGTTCAATACATACAATATATAACAATATTCAACATATTACACACACCAGTTAGGTATTATGAATTTAACGGGTGTTGACAGTCACTAATTATTTATTTTCAAACCCCCCTCCCCCATTGAAAAATCCTGTGTACGCCACATATATATACAACATACATATTATATAATATAATATATTTGTACCTTTTCCGAACTAAACGAATCGGTCTGCACTTTCATCGTGGCAGCACTGGTGTTTTGCAGGTTTTCCCGTTGAGATAGTTCTCCAGGTTTCTGCAACGTTTTTTTTTTTTTTTTGTGAAAATGTTTGAAAACAATCAGCGATACCGATCCACAACGCAATGCAACCGTGTGATTATAATACGACTGTTCGGACGAAGATCGTACACTATTTTACGTCTGCTACTTTACACTGTTTAAATGAAATACCGGCCTGCAACGACTGTGTGATGGCGGTGGTGTATATTGTTAGACTAAACTTAGACAATCGCGAATTTTCGACTCGGTCGTACGCGTGCGTGTGTGTACGAGTGTTTRAATGTTCGAGTGTGGGTATAATAATATATATTATCATCACATATYATTATTATTATATACGCGTAAACTCCCACAGAATGTCGAGAGACGTKAAAAAAAATATGCGAAAATACTCGCGGGAGATAATGTTTTTTTCTTTTTTTTATTGCCCAACGACCGCTCCGACGATGACGTCCCAATACCTATTCGGGTGTAATACCATTGCAATAATAACACGATAAATTGTCGTGTGCAAAATATACATAATATTATGTTACCCGCGRTAGTTGACGATGCCCCCCACAGACGTTTGATCCGCGCGATCAACAGTTTCTTTTGGTCGTCCACCGTATACATACAAAAACGTATATATTAATATAATAAATCATAATCATCGTGTACGTTGCTCTTCCAAGTGTGCGCTATYTTTAAATTTTGTTTTTTCCAAGAACTCTTTCATGATTTCCGTTAATGACTAAGGTAAGTCACACTTTAATATTTCCTTGTAATTTTTAAGCGCTAATTGTCCATCATAGCTTGCTTTCCGTCGCCACATATGTTGGATATAATAAATTAAAAACTGATTCAAATAATATTACGTACTTTACCGTATGAAATATTATAATAATTAATCTAATCAACGCGTCGTAATTCGCAAGCTCCAAAATCAATCAGTATAATTATACTTAGAGTTTAACTATTTTGAATTATATCAACCTTCATCTTCCCAACACCGCGTGAATAAAATGTAAATCAGCACGTTTAGACTTTAGAACACACACACTTATTATACTAGATTCATTCTAACGTACAGAATCATAAGGATGCAGATAACAATATCATTAACTTTTACACATTCACAAATTTCAACAATTTATAGATAATATCAACGATTTATTTTTAAACGATAAAAAGCACGCTGTATGCTAAACGAATGTTATAATATTACAGAACTTATCAGACGGGTTCTAYATTCCGAGTTCTTGGAATTATAATTTAAATGCCAAACACAAATAAAAGAATCTCGTACTGTAGGTATACATTATGAGAAAAATATTTTTTTTCTTATTTGCCGCCATACGATATGTCTTCGTTCGTATAGTTTTAAAATCAAATCAATGTACCTAAATATTTAAAAAAAAAAAAAACGAACATTTGATCACATGRAGGGGTGATAGAAAAAAATGAGAGATCGTACAATAAAACTTTAAGTGAAACTAMGTTTTGGAATTTACATTATATTATTTATTTACTTTACGTCCTACGTTCACAGAATCAATCAATCGACATAATGAATTGAAAATTACACATGATTTAGAAGTCCTTGAATATTTTYAGTAACTAATTTGCAATTCGCGTTTAACAGAGTTTAATAAAACAATCATTAAATGGCATCAAAACGCAATAACGACCACTGCTAGGCCGATTTCCTATGRCATATCGCTAATGTGTATGAAAGGTAATAAAATAGTATAGTAAATGATATTATACATATATCTAGGTACGTTGAAAAAAGTCATTATATTGTAATATTCMAATATCATTGCAAAACAAAATCGCACGGCTGCTGGTTGGCTCTGATAACACATTAATTATTTGTGGAAAACGTTGTGATTCGCAATAATATAATCATAATATAATATTGTATGCAACGAGCCTAAAAAATAAAATGATAATTGTTTTTATGTAATGTCAGATATTGTAGTATAGTTAATGTACTACAGATAGAGAATTCGCGTAAAAYCAAAATTCCGACTAAAAAATTAAACGTACCTATACGCGCGTTATCGACCACTGTCGTCGATTTCCAGTAGTCACAATAACAACATTAATTCCTTACTATATAGCTTTGGTTCGGAATCGCATGAAATCCGAATAAGGTACTAAACTACTACATTCACGGTGATTGT